AAATTATTAAGAAAAAGATTTGATCTGCAAAATATTACATCCTTGAATATGCGCAATACCAATTATCAGGAAGAGTTGAATTGCAATATTAAAGACAGAGTGCATTATAATATATTATGTTGAATAATCGACTAGAAAATATATGAAAATATTTGTTGTATTTATATTCAGTAGAACAATGAGTAAAGGTAGCCCGAATGTAAACAAAGAGAGAAATAGTTGATCACATGGAGGCTTTTTTGTCATGCAATTAGTAAAAAGAACGAATGAATATGATAAGGTTATGCACAATAATATTTCGCATGAAAGTAACATAAATAATTAGTCACAGTGTAGGCTATTATTATTACTAAAGTGAAATCATTGAAGGACGATAATTATCTATTAAAAAAATGTGAAAAAAAACGTATGCGCTATTTCTATAACTGAAGATACACTTAAATAATATTGCGTTGGTAAGAAAGTTTTGTCATTTTTTTTCGTAACTTTCTAGAATAGTCAAGAAAGTTCTAGAAGTTTCCATACTAAGGGCATATAAAGGGAGTGTAAATATCTTTCGAACAACAATAAAACTATGGATATACAGGGTGTCCCAGAAGTAAGGGAACAAGAAGCGTATCCAGTAAAATTGAACGAAAAATTGTTTATGATAGTTTGGGCACTTTTTATTGATGTAGAGAGCTGAAGTTTTTATCACATATGTATCTAACCAAGACCTTTTATTTCTGAAAATTTCAGCTCTCTACATCAATAAAGAGTGCGCAAACTATCATGAACAATTTTTCGTTCAATTTTACTGGATACCCTTCTTATTTCCTTACTTCTGGGACACCCTGTATTTGTTAATAGAAAATACAAGGCATCAAAAAGAATTAATCCTATCCACCATCGAAACATAAAACTTTCAATCATTTTTTATTTTTCAATATATTTTTCTTCGCTTCTCCCTGTGAGAATGATATGTTTTCTGTCATCTGCTATAATAAATACAACGTAAGAATAACGTATGTATAAGGATGGATGGAAAAAAAAATACTATGCATCGATGATTTCATTAGACGATATATTGATATACCCTTTCTTTCAATAAGTTCATCCATCTCTATTCTATACTTCATTGACGTCAACGGTCATAGCCAAAAAAAAAAACAATGAACATTTACCTATAAATACATACTGTTATATTGACAAAAATATCATAGTCAATATTAAACATGAACCAATCTAGTGTAAATCTTCTTGATCTACCTAATGAAATATTATTTAATATTTTGAAGAAACTTGAGAATACTGACGTTCTTTATTCATTATTCGATATCAATAATGAACAACTTGATAATATAGTACAAGAGGAAACTTTTTCTAATACATTAAATTTTGCATTAACTGTTCATAACACTACAATCATTGATTCAGTACTTGATCGATTTTGTAATTATATATTACCTCAAATTCATTACAATGTGAAATGTCTCATTGTTGCACCAGCGCCTATCAAACGTATTCTTATTGCTACTCACTATCCAAGCTTGACTGAATTGAAACTTTTAGATTTTCAACGCAATAGCTCATTACGTTATTTCACAGGTGAGAAAGTGTTGTAGATTTCATCAACTGAAACATTATAGTAGAACAATATCAAAAATAACTGATTAAACAATATTTCATTGTTGTATTTTAATTTAGATGATTCACCTTTTCGACATATCTTCAAACAGCAGATTACAAAACTTGATCTTATCAACGAAGATTCGAAGCGTGCTATAGAATCATTGATAGATTATACGAAAAGAGTGTATGGACCTATTTTGACCTACTTCGAAAATCTCGAGCATTTAAACGATATTCAGACATCGATTCGTGCATATCCAGGCTTAGCCATTCGATATTTATCATCAAGTGCTTTTTCTTCTTTAACTCTTACTTATTTATGTATTAATATGGGAACTTTAACTGATTGTCTTTGTTTAATTGATGGTCGTCTCAAACAACTGACTACATTTATTGTTCGAATTTATTATATGGATATAGATTCATCAATTAATCAGAACATGGTAGGTATATTTTATCTTTTTATACTTTTCAAATAAACAAAATACAAACTATCAATTGGAGACAGTTAGGAAATTGTATGAGAAATCAATAGAGATGTATAAGACCAGTTTTTGTGTAAAGGTCAAAACCGCGGCTAAACGAAACTGTTTCTTGTAAGTCTTTAGAAGTGAATGGTATTTTCTAATTTTGAGAACTATGAAAAGACTTGAAAGAAAAATATATAGAAGTTCTTTGATACTCGTTAAACTTGTTTGAAAATCAGTCATGCACAAGAATTGAAATTTTTAATTCCTAATTTATGCGATGAGAGAGATGAACAACTGAGTCTGACACTAATAATCCAAACAAAGTAATAATTAGAGACGGATATGAAAGTTATCGATTCTCAATTGTTACGTCTTTAAATGTATATGTTATGATAAAATCAATCATATCTCGTTTGAAATCAAATAGACATGCTGAATGGTCAGATAAGCACAATGAAAACAAGATTCCTTTTCTGTATCCATTAATTAATACAATATTTGATTTATTACAGATATCTAATAGAATTACCTGTCTTTCTAGTCAACATAAACATTCATTTTCATTATATAGGATGATCTACCTCATTTGAAGTGTTTTGCATTAATACATTATGGTTTAATTAAAGAATATGATAATAATTTTGTACTTGGAGAAATTAACTTTATATTTGTGTATCGCCTATCAAGATGGATTCATTGATCCGATTTATCTTCTAAATGAATTTACTATATGTCTGTCATGACTTTATTCATTCAATTTTTATCTTAGCACGGAGAATAATAGTAATGATTTAGTTCATTATTTGTCCGATAATGATGTTAAACGAAATTATAGAAATATAGGACATCAAGAAGTATTGGATATGGCTTGTTTTTCTGTAAACATAGCTATATATCATATATTTACACTTCCTTTCCAATTTACCAAGCTCATGTCTGTTGGGAATATATTTCCAAATATTGTATTCAATTACATCACCGAATTATGGGTACATGATGTGGGTCCATTTGAATATGAATTCTTCGTACGAATATCTAAAGCATTTTCATTGCTGAAAAACTTTTATGTTTCCATTTTTGCGTTACTATCATTTAATATCGAGGTATCATCTCCAAACATTGAATCATGCGAAATTGTTAAATATCCTCATCTTACGTTACTTGACATTAGAAGGACGAGTATTAATTACGTCGAACAATTTTTAAATGAGACCATAACATATCTACCTTGTCTATCTGAGTTACGTGTTGTATATGAAGAATTAAGAATTATCACAAACGATTTTACACGAGAAACAACGCGACGTATTTGTGTTAATGTGAGACGATTAATTACTGGAAGGGATATTGTTAGTACGAAAGACTGTTATATTTATTTTCCTTTGCTGTAGATTGATTTTTATTGTAACTATGTGAAACACATTTCGAAAATAAAACAATTAAAATGTTTCATTTGTAGCAAACAAGAAATAGAATACTGAATAATGCTTCTCAAGATTTATTAATTTCAAGAATAATGTATAACATTGAAAAACAAACTTGTTAGGGCAGCTCCCTTGGAGCTGAAATGTGGAACTCACATATATCCTTAAGGGTGTGGGTGTGGGTGCAGGAATGCTAAAAGTTGTACCCATCTACACCCACTGCCTCACCTACATCCACGCCCAATCCCGCAGCCACACCTACACTCACGCACCCATACGCACACTCACATCCTTGAAACTCATACCAAATGCTCTATAATAAGAATTGATCTATGTCTCGTATAAGTCGTTAAGAATTCGAATCGACTCAATCGATGAGATATCATTGGAAATAACAAGTTTTATTTCTCGAATTTACTAATTATATTATTTATGTTCAAATGTGTTCAGTTAACAAGTTCCATATTTCTTTTTTATAGAAAACAAATATTCTATGTTCAAAATTTTACATAAATGCGATCATATTAAATAAAGTAACATTTGTTTTTCTGGATTATATTCTTCTTGAATAGACTTGTTCGTGTGGACTATATGCGATTATTATTTAGAAAAAATGGTAAAACACATGTATCACTGATATTTTTTTGCCGACCAACAGTTTCATAATTGGATGAGAAACTAATAAAGACAATAATCTAAACCATGTACTTATTGTATGATAGTAGATTACGTTCGAGACAGAAACCAAATCCAACCGAGTTTTATTGGTTCTAGTTCGGTTCGGTTCGTCTTTTTTTTGTTAACACTAGCGCAGGTTTGTTCAATTCGTTTTCGGTCTTTGAAGTATTATAACCATCGATCAAATGTAGTTTAATGATTGTCACAAAGCAGCAGAATTTTTCAAAGATTATGATAGCTCAATCAATCATTTTTTATATTCGTTAGTCTACATTCACTTGCTTTTCGAAAATTAGTTTGGGTTCGGTTCAGTTCAACATCGTTTTTCAGATAGTGGTGCAAGTTCGGTTCGTTTTCGATTTACAGTTCGAGATCGACCATGATGATTAGTGCATACACAAAGATTTTTGCTTGTTATATAATATCAATTCCATTTTAATATTATTTATGGAGTGGTTTCATCTGTTCTTTGGCTGTCAGTGTCGGTAATTACGATTATTTCTATAGGTCGGACCATCATTAAATCTGTACAAAATTTCTGTTTATTCATCTTTAATGTTGAGTAGTGTAAGTTCGAAATGGCGTTTGTAATACAGATCGAAGATATAGTAAACGATTAGAAAACAGGAATTTTATACCACCTAATAAGATTGTTTCTAATAAAAGACGAATAAACAACAGTGGAAATTTTATGCATCTTTTATATATCTTCATAACATCTATTGAATGGGAAAAAATCCTATGATTAATTTATTGTATTACAACAGTTATGAGAAAAGTGACACATAGTTATTTTCCAAATTTATGAAAATGAATTTACTTCCTGGGAAATAAAATGAATAATCCAATGGAACGCAATAAAATTTGAATTTCACAATTCAGTGCTAACAATGAGTTTAACATTTATTGTTCTTTCTTTCTTGTTGTATCATGTTCTTATCTGACACATAGAGTCAATATTTGTACATCAAATGCATTTTATATGGGTGTCCATTATGACTTTCATATCCGCCATTTTACATCTTAAAATTCGTATTGTTATATTATGAGGACGAGCATAAAATTTTGCATCTTTTGATATAAAACAAAACAATTGTAGCTGTTGAAATAATTGAATAGTGAGCGGTAGAAAATCAAAAATTACAAATGAATAAGTGAAAAAGTTTCATATTTTCGTCTGAAGATTCCAATAGATATGATCTGTTTTCTCTTACTTAACTCTACTATATTTAAGCAGTTTAACTCAATCGATATTTATTTTCAATTTTGGATTAAATTCTAAAGAAGTATACTTTGCGTTCGTTCCTTATACGATGCCCATAAAACGAATGGTCAGAAAGAATAATTTGTTTATTTTTTTCTGTAAAAACAACGCAGCATTAATCCAGTTGAATATTACATAGATAGATCAGCCCAGACTAAAAATTCAAACTCTAACCGCACCAGCAGCTTTGTATATTACCGTTCTGAGTGATGAAAAAGTTATATTGAGGTATGTGGGTATGGATGAAACACCCACATCCACACCCGAGCATAGGCTTGGTGGCTCGGGAGGAAGCATCTCCATATGCTAAATCATTTCTGGCTTTGGACTATGTTCATTTGATGAGTACTAGGGAGCGTTGAAAAAGGTTAGAATGATTTAGTTTTCCAGGCCTTCGTTCTCATGATATCGAATTTTTACTGAATTTTTCAACAAAATCCCGTACTTCTCCTCCGATCATGTTAAAAGTTGAATTTTTAGTTTTGGCTTTAAACGAATTCATTGTGAAAGTTTCAGCCTTTGTCGTTGCTTCGGTCATGAAATATGAACATTGAAAATTCTGTTGGGTGAGAAAGCGAATTTTGTGCTTTTGTTAGTATATCACGACAGAAACAACGAAAAAAGGCTGAAACTTTCACAATGAACTAGTTTCACTTACAGTATTATTTGTGTAAAGTTTTGAGTCAAAACTAAAAAGTCAACTTTCAACGTGATCTGATCGGAAATACGAGTTTTATTGCAAAATTTCGAGGAAAACCTATTTTTCAGAAATTGTACGAATAGAAGAGACTAAATAAGCACAGATAATTCGTATCAAGTGAGAAGCATAATTATACTAAATATCAAATTATTAGCTATATTAATTGTAAGGATTGCTTCTGGCCTCCTTTTCCTATCCACTGTAACCCACATCCTCAAGATTTTGCTTCGCCAACGAACAAATTTTGACATTCTTCTCTTCAGTAAAATGTTATTTTTATTTGACTTTTGTGGCTCGTTCTCTCGCTCTGCACGACACAATTCTTTCTTATCTCGTATCGTAGTAGCTCATGAAAGTGAAGATCATTTTATGTGATTATCAATCTACAGGTAAGCAAGTAGTGAAAGATCAGACGGTATAGAGTACAACAAAATTGTAGACCTTCCTATGGTGAATATAAAAATAATTAATACTGTATTTTGAAAAGAGATTCAGTTATTTAATGTATATATTAAATAGATACATAAGTCTATGTGGCACTTAGGCAGATGATTGCTCCTTCGTCCTTTTTTCTTTTTTAATTCTTTTTACTTACTTATTTATTTCATATAGATGTCTCCATAAAAAACTAAGTAACTATGGGTGAAAAGCAAAACTGTAACAAGTAATCACCAATCAAAGTTGTCCGGACATTGATTAAAAACTTTTCTTACAGTATTATTCGAATTTTCTGTCCAATCTATTTCTAATGAATTTTTTCATTCGTCTGTGTTCTTGATGTTAACTTTTAGTTCTCTCGATTGATGGAAGGTTTATTTGAAGTAAAATGAGTTTTTATGCGCGCTTGTTTATTTGCAAGCACGTGTTTAGTGATGTGTAGACAAATATTTACGAGCATTGAAAGTATCTATTGAAAATGAGGTTTTTTGATGCTGACAGCACCATGAGTGAGATGCTTTTGTAATATTGATCTTGACCAATCAGATCTTTTTTGTTTCTCGAAATTCAGCCAGTTGAAAGTTTTCACCTTTTCCCTCTCATCTAATCATATGTTTCGATGGTGAGCTTCTACCATTCATATATTTTTTTCGGATTTAACTTCAAACGAATGTGAGTTGTTATATCTGTATTTGAGCTACTGAGGATATACTCAATCTGCATGCCTTGTTGAAGTTTTTGTTTTTGTTTTCATATGGATTGATGAATCATTCACTATTCACACTGATATTTCAGGAGCATTGACGGAGCATACTGTATCTTGAGATAGTTTTTCAATAGCTGAAGTATTTTGAATTAAATGAGGAACCCTGCCACTGAGAATTGAATAATTTAGGATCAGGTGTGAAACTGCTGAGCAGATTTCAAATGAGAGTGAATGGTTTTTTGGAAAAGATGGCTTTAGCACGTGAGCGATTAGCTGTACGTGCGGCCCAGCATGGGTGCTGATGAAATAGCAGTAAGTTTCACTGCAGATCTGCTTCAGGAAAGATCTATAAAAGGTGTAGCATGTTTGTTGAGAATAGTCCAATCAAATTCCGTTCAGTACAATTGGCAGTATAACTTAGATTTTTCGAAAAAGGGGTTAAAATTTAGAACACAAGGAATACTTTACAATAGAACCTTTTGTTTGGAAT